AGTTACAAAAGTAGGGGCATTTGAATAATTACAGTGAGAACTTTTCTGGGGTTCCAGCTATCCTCAGCAGTGTCTGGTGTGTCCTAGATTTTCACATTTTCAATTGCAGAAATACTCATCTTTTGCTCAATGTTAAATTAGGTAATGTTTTGACCAAGTGTCTAGGGCAATGCACTCCATGTGTTGAATATTTGATGGCAGGAATGACTGCTGTGGTGTAGGCTGTTAACAGAGCCGCAACAGCTGGGCCGCTGTCGAAACGTCCACACTACTCAAATATCTTGCTGCAGATTATATGAGTGTTCCATTATCGTACCAAATCATGTTGGATGCCCCACGAACAGGATTGGATCCACAATTCCAAGTTTTATGTTCTCAATGCATCGTCTTTGTTCTGTCTCGAATACCTATGCTGGAATTGGTTCAAGGGGCGTGCGCCTACTTGCAGTACCCGCCACTTACTGTTGCACGTACATCAATACCATTAGGGATTGTGGTTCAACTTGACCATCAATTCCGCTTCCAGCCTCACAGTACATGGGGTGTAGAAGAAAGATTCATGGGAGATTTTCTCACATATTCTCTGCATATATCGGAAAAGAACTAGCAGAATGGACTTACTAAGCTACTCGCTTTTTCTGCCTGTCTGATTCTGTTAGTTCAAAGGATCGGAAAATTTTTGTTTTCTCACACTCTGACTGTTGAGAAAGGCGTCTACCAGCTTAAAACACTTCACGTGAAATAAGTTAACCTTATTATTGCGATTCCAAGATATTTCAAGGCTAGATTAACGTCTACCTCTAACTTGACTGCTTCGATGAAAAGTGCCTTGTTGCTGCTTCATCAAGGTGGCATTGAGGACTCAAGAAGGCAGGTTTTAGAAGCAGGCTCTATGCTACAAATGCATTGAAGATCAACAAATCCACTGCAAAATCTCTTCGTTCTACCTGTCTGTTTTATCATTACCACTTTTTGTGGAAGATGTAGAACTCATGCAATTGAGTGTCCTTAAAGTGGCTTAAATAGGCTGTAGAATCAAAAGGATGTTAGAATTGCACGAAAGACTCTCCCTGCCTCTTGCTCCTAGCTACGGTAGTGACATCATTGACACCGCATTCACCACCCTTCTACCTTCCACTGCCAACGAGCAAAAGGTCAGGCAGCTCTAAAACCTTTCAAATTTGGCATGCGGATCCGTGTAGGCGAATCTCACGACAGAAGGGAAGAAAGATGGGGAATTCAGGAGGAGAAGGGAATAAACCATTGTTTCCTTTTATTCACTCAATAAAACTTTTGCCGTACCTCCACCATTCCTTTAAAAAGTTGAGACATTTTGTAAGCATTTTGGAGTAAGGAGACTTCTATCAATTATAGCGTATGCAATGAAATACATTATTTACTCAAAAAAATTTAAAAATTCAAAAATTTGTAAAGTAATGAATGTATTGGGTAGCCGACAAAGTTCGTGTAGTTGAAGGCATAGTTGTCAACGCTCCATTGCTCCACTGCACACTTCAAAGGTGCCATTCCATTCCCACCTAATCATGTCTGTTTTCCATGTAGACGAGTTTGTTCACGACTAATTTCTTGTCGGAAATTAAATAGTTACGCTTGATATCTATCTGCCCAAAATGAGACAACTCGAATGTCAGTAATTGCAGGGAAAATATTTTCACATTTAATCTCACAGAACATGGTCATGAGAAGACCCCTTATCGCACTTTGGGTGGGAGAGAAGGAACCTTATCCCTACGGCGTCTTCGAATCCCCATCCCTTTAAGCCAGCCTTTTTACTACTAGCGATGGGCATACTGGATGGTCAGAGCATCTCTCTTTACTCAATACAGTTCTTGAGCTGGATGAATCTTCAGATCCAGGGGAATTGCCAGGGTAGATCAGTGAGGTTGCGTTGAAACGTCCCCTCAATCAGGCACAAATGCGGTGACTAGCATGTTGGTTCGAGAGTTCTTTCCTTGAAGCACTGATTACGTTGTGATGGCCGAAGCGAATGGTTGACCTAGTGGAGCATCAAGGATGATGCTCAAGAGAGTGTCAACACAGGACTTAAGGCGTTTTTTAACTCCGCATTTGATTTACGGGGACAATTAAAGCTCTGCCATTGTGCTTTCATTCGCTGATAGCCTCAGCTCTTCCGTACCTCAGAAACACCTCTTCCGCCATAGTTCTATGACTTTTGTGACCACAGGGAATACTCAAGGAGCTACAACTGCATTCGAGTTTACCCGTGATAATTTGGACTGCATCCCTCATTAGGTAATGTCCGAAATGCATAAATAAGTAATGTATCCAACTGTACCAAATTAAAAGACTTGACAGGAGAAACGAGCTTAAAGTTTGATCCTTACTAAAAACTTTTGAAGATTTCTTAACAAAACACATCTGGTTCAGGTATCCATGGCGAGCTGGTCAATTTAACCCATCGGTAAAGAGGAAATTTGTTTGTACTTAGAGATAAAATGGAATAATTAACTCGTTTTTGTTCAGTCACCATTTACAGTATTTAAAAATTAATTTTGGAGCTTTTTGATGATAAAAGATTTAGTAGTTCGATTGGAACTAGAAGACAAAAAAATTAAACTTATGCTTAGCAAAATAAAATGGCACTGCATTTAAAAATTAAACCACTCGCAATCAAAGGTGAGGGCTGCCACATGGTTCTTAGTCTACCCGCCTCTGATATTGCGCTAAGTCAAGGTGTAATAAACTTCAATTGAGGATAATTAGAGGCATCGTAAACGATCCCGGGAAATTTATTTGACGCCTGGCCTTCTCGCTGTGAAATAAACAGAAAATAAACATTGTGGTGATATATTTCATGCTACACTGACCACAAAGATCAGTACACACAATGGAGAGACAAAGGCCTGAAAGAAGTTCAAGACATGAATCTGTAGGGCATTTCAAATGGCGGTCCCAGCTCTGGTCTAGTGTCTCTTTCCCGCCCCAGCTACTCCTCCCCCTCCGCCTTATCACCTGTCCACACACTTTTGCTAGCTTAGGGATATCAGTTCGCCAGTGGTGTCTGTTTACAGATCTTAGCACCAGCGTGCACAAAATAGGTCTGGTTGCATGCGGAAGGGGCTGAAATCCCAAATCTTCGGTTTGACGAAATAGCATCCAAAAAACAGTCCGCACTTTGTGAATCATTACTTGGGATGCATTCAGAGCCACCAAAAATGAGGCGCCATAGATGGGAAACATGGGGGAGGAAGGAGGACCACCCCCACGTGTGGCATCAGCTAATTGGCTTTGTGAAATGCAGTCTCCTGGAGCGATGTTGTTTGGCCCCCCAATTCCGCTTTTTTAAACTACATTTGCCGTCTCCATTTTGACAGAAATTGGGCATTCAAACTGCCGCCATTTGAATCATTGGAAGGTGGGCTCAAACTAGGCTACAGAGAAGATTTCACATTCTGAGGAGTAAAAACAGTACTTTTCAGACCTACGAGTCCTCTCTGCCTATGAATGCAAAAAAATGCTAAAGGGGGTAGGTTTTCGCATTTAATTGCTTTGAGATGATCAAAAATTGCGTAACTGCAAGTGGACAACTCGTAGCACCAGAAAAGAAGAGGGTTTTATCAAATGAGTGAGCATTATGTGCTGAAACCGGAGAGGCTCCAATCTGGTGCAAGAATTCAAACCACTTACGAGAATTGCACAGATTAATAACCTGATATCCACAGCGTTTTACCGCCTCAAAACGAAAAAATAGTCAACCTTCCCACAATAAATGGACAACTGAAATCACTAAGGCCATGTCAGAAACTGGATGTCACTTAAGAGTCCATTAAAACAAACCTCCTGTTATACAAGTTAGGGAATTTACATTACCACTGCTTAAGAAAATATTTAATTTTTATGGAAAAAAGACGTCACAACTTTGTCAAAAAGCTTGGATTTATTACAAGATGAAATGAATGAATCTTTGAGGCTCGTGTTCGTTACCACTAAGTAAGACTAATGTATCAAGGTCACCCAAACAAACAACCAGTTCCGTGACTAATGATAATAAAAAATTTTTCACACAACAGAATGGTAAACGATGGTATTTGGCCCAAAGCTAAGCAATATATAAAGTAGAATTTTTTTCAATTTACGCACATCAGATTCTCCACTTGAAGTAAATTACCAAACGGACGGATGGATTGCGATGACTTTTCCTCACCATAACTTCATCCATAAAATTTTGCACTACCTTTTCTTTATCAGTTGTTTATATTGATGAACCCGACATCCCTTATCACCTTTAGGTGTAGGCGCCACGCGGACCGTGTAAATAGCCGACAATGTTTCCTCAACTATGAGCTAGTAACTGCACAGTGATATTCTCCACTTCTCTAATTTATCAATCATGCGGAAATACCACTTTACATGTCGACATTTTATGACTGCCCTTAGCCTAATTTTGTATCTATCTGTAGTTTTTTACAAGGAAATTTTCATGCGGAAATTAACTTGCTTTAGTGATGGAGGTGCGAATATCGCCCCACAACTTATTGATCTTCATAGCAGAAGTGTTGTGATTTTGTGGACATTGGGTTATAAACTACTCATGCCAACTTCCTAACCAGAGTACTCCCTGAGATGGAGACCTCAATGTGAATGTCTCCATCGCCGACAGGTATGGGGAGGGGGGGGGGGGCAGAGGATACGGCGCAAGCGTACGTGACCGCTGGATGAATACTGCAGTCACGGAGTGGTACCAGTTGCGCATATTTACAGCCTTTTAATCGACCTCAGCCCTGTAGTGGGCAATATTGGTCAATTATGGGACCCGGACAAGAGCACTAAGGTTGAGACATTGCATACAGTTTGAGGATTGGGCACGAAAAAGACAGTTGCTAGAGCATCGAACCAGGAACATATTTGGAGGTTACAGTCACCAGCAGCAAATTCTCGAACCAATTTTCTATTCTCGAAATCTTCAGCGCAACAGGAAAAAGGAATGTTGAGTGCATTTATCCCATCTGGTAATTCAGTCACCACAGGCGCTTCGAATTCGAAGGTCCCATGACGCTTTTGGAAACAGACTTACCCGACTTTGGTCTGGCTTCTTTAATAGCCGAGGGTGGGAGAAGTGCTTTCATCGTCACTGCAGGAGCAAGGGCAGTAGTTGTGAATGTCGTGGTAGTCGTACTGGTCGTGGAGGCCATTGTTGACTTTGTCGTCGTGGGAGTCGGCCGCAGTGAAGCCTGCAATTTGAGGGATCGAGGTGCAGAAATACCCTGGTACTCGCAATTCCAGTCACCCGTTCGATCGAGTGCCTCCATGTCCACGGTATATTCAAGCAAAAGACTGCCACTTCCCACCCGTTGTTCAAACCGACATTCCTCAATGACCGTGGAGAGAGTAGGGGACACCACGCAGCCTTTGACTTCGTCAAAAACGCATGCTGGTGTGCAGTCTACGTAGCAGATCTCTGTCGCGACCTAGAAATGGGTTTTTGAATTCGTTTTCAACCAGAGATTTAAAAGATTTAACCATTTTTCTCCACGCTGTTTACTAGTTTATACAGACCGCTACAATTTGGGTATCAAGTCTGAAATAGTATAGAAAACGATTACAAACCCCGGCAACTGCAAGTTGAAACGCCTAGAGGTTATTTGCCTTTACGACACATTTATTTCTACTCAGGTAAGTTGGCTGCATGCTTACGGAGAATACGCAAAAATCAGTTATTTTAATTTGCCGTCGATATAAATGTATCATTACCATTCGAAGAATTAAGTACTGAAAACTTTTATGTAAATCTAGATGGATGGTTGGAGGGACCCAGGTTGGATGGATGGATGGACGGATGGATAAGTGACGAGTAGGTTAATGGATGCATACGAGCGCAATAGATGGAAAGATCCTGGGTGGATGGTGCATGGTTGGAATGCATTAAAAAATCGCCATTATTAACTACCCACGCCGTAGCGCATGCCTCATGCGTCAAACCTGCCTACCACATGCTGTGTTACTTTCACGTTGGAATCCTTACTTAAAAATTCTAAAATAAGCACCTTCTTGCTCTTTCTTAATAATCCTTGCTATTTAAAGCAACGGCTCCCTACCATCATTGTTTTAATATTGACAGTTACAAATTACTTACCACCGTAAATGCGAAAAAATATACCTGTGGACATCGAAGGTAGACATGGCTCAAGCTTTGATTTCCTGATTTCACCAGCGCTTGACTTGCTTCCGAGCTCAACTTCACCTCGCACGTCAGATGGCCCATTCTACTGGCCGCAATTCGGTAGTGGAATTGCACTTCATGTGTCTCACGCCGCTCCTCTGATTGGCTGGAATCGGAGTGGGAGGTGTTGGAACCCACCACTACTGTCTGGGTGGTCCGCGTTCTTGAAACGGTAAATATGAGGAGGGAAAAGATATGTACAAGGAAGATGCTCATGCTCGTGGATTTTTCGATCCGCTATTGTCAGCACATCATCTGAAGGAAGGACAAAAATGCAATGAATTTCATAGTTTTCTCAAAAATAACCCGCCACTTCTTTCAAAAAAACAAATGGCAGTGTAGCGATTGAATGACTCTTCATTTAATGCTGCTGCGTTGCGTGGATGAGAATTACTAAAGTGACTACTTACGTGCAAACAAGACCCCCTAGTTCACCACATGAACGATAGAAGCATTTGTAAAAAGTGTGCCAATGGGTTTCACGTACAAAATGTCGTTTCAACTGTCAAAAGTTGAAATATGAGTCCAAAAACGAGTCTCCCATCACAGCTTCCCTTCTACACATTCGATTTCATTCAAGTGAAAACCTTAAACGTCTAAACGCAGAAGTCGAGAAGTTTTTTTAAATTTGCTATTACCTTATATCACCGTATTTGCTGGAGTCATCTTCACTGTGTCTGGATCAGTTATGACTCGGAATAATCCGTAACCTTCCTCAGGTATTTATATTCCAGTGAACTTAAAACATGAAATCAGTCAAATAATCTCATAACGGAACGATGAAGCCTTTAGATTCTAATAGGTGTGTATTCCAGATGTCTGTGACCCCAAAAACAAACATTCCTCTTCGACTTGCTGGAAATCGCCCTTCTCATGCCTGATTCCCCCAGCATTCTGCAGAACTGCGCCCTTCACGCATTCCAGCCAGATTGGTTGAGGCCAGGTTTAGATGCCTTTTAAGTGTGCTGATAATCACTCCAGGTCCAAGGTCAATTCGTCTCCACAGCAATGCGAACGAATGACTCAGACTCAGTCCGACATCGCCACCTAGTTGCCAGACTTATGTGCGCTCGTGTGCCGTTCCTCACTTGAATGAATCGGTCGTCAAAGGCATCCGTCCTGAGGTCTCGTTTATTAAGCATTTGGTTTGGAGATCTACAGGCCCTAGGCCGCTAGCACATGAACCTCAATTCGCAGCATCGATCTCCCCCTGAGACCTTGGTAGTCAATGCATTAAAAGAATAGTCAAATAATCATTTTTTGATTCTTCCCCCTTTAAGGTGGTTTAAAAGAATTAGCTACCGGTTCATTTTTATAAACAACCCTTTTGAATATAAAAGATGACATAATATGCCAAAAATTAAAATGATAAATACAAGGGCAACTTTGATTCGTTGTTACACTTATTGCTTTGCAAAAGGTTTCAAATAGTGGCTCTTCAAACCTGCTTTAGGGTACAGCGAAATATTAAAGCACAATGTAAGAGGAGTAAATGCAATAGTTCTCATTGTAAAGACAGCCCAACTGCCATGAGGTAATGCAACTAATTCTAAAATGACAAGCAGTACTGAGCCCACCAAGGAAATAAGGCTCTTGAGCTCATAAAGCAAGCTTGATGGCAAAATACACATTTTTGTTCTACAATGGCAAAATTGTCACCGAATACTTGTTTGTCCCATTTTCTACCCAAAAAGCTCAACTTAAAGGATCGGGTTACTTACGTAAAAAACTGTCCTTTATCCAACTACCACTTCAAGGGTGAGTCCTTGGTTAACTTGTTGTCATTACCATCCCCACTCTCGGATCAAGGTGATAGCGCGTTAGTGAACAGAAATGTGTCATCAAGGTGCCTCTCTTTTACTTTGTTCTAAAGTCAACCAAATTCCTCGAAAAAAAATCCACTTTAGGAATATGCGACCAGTTAACTTTTTGCATAAAGCCTTATATTTTATTCTAAATGCATTTTATTCCGCGTTTTTTAATTAATGAAGACCAAACTTCATAGCAATTGACAGGTACTTAAAGAGAGTAGTTGTTTTACAAGAAATGCTGTCAAAAACACTCCATTTTGTAAAAAATAAACACTAAAAGGAGAAGAAGTTAACAGACATTACTGCTAAGTTACTTATTGGCAGTTCGACTTTTGTATAACAAATTTTATTGCCATTAAATTGTTGAAGTAAGGGGCAAAAACAGCTTTGAAGTGGAACGAGTGGTAAAAATGCTCAAATCCCTCAAAAAGTAGCCACCGGGGATTAATAATTTTCCCTCAGACAAATAGACGTGCAAAATAAATAACTAGTCATTTAGGCACAAATGAATAACAAAAACTAGACAACAATGCTTCATTCACTACCATTCTTAAATTAACCGTTACATTTCCCTTTTACACAGATGGTAAATTTCTTACTGTAACATCTCCGGATTTCCTAATATTTATAAATTCACAGTGATACTCTTCAGTGGCAACCGTTTACGGATCAAATGCGGCCATCCTTGAATAAATTCCACTATCGCCGAGGATTGTGAACGATTGACAATAACAGAGCAACAAATACGATATTCTCCCTGGTGATTTTTGGGGGTAAATCAGTGGACGTTTTTTGACTACAACATCAGGAAAAGTGCAATTACCTGCTGTCTCTATCCACGGCCTTTACCGCAGACATTGCAAAACACACAATACGGTAGCACAATTACGACCATAAAAAACCACAATTACATACACACGTACACACACAAACATCTGCTGAGGCATTAACCTTTAGGTTAGAAGGAGGGATACCTTCATTCCTGTCTTCCTGCCCTCCTTCTTTTCCTTCCATCTCACCTTCCGCTTCCACATGTGCCAGTGCGGATTACACCCGTTTTTGTCTTATATTTATTTGAATCTTCAAATTAGATATTTAGGAGCTCCTGAAAGGGCGGAAAGTAGTGAATAATTGGCAATCTGATTGACTGAGGATGACAGCGCACATTTCCAATGACCGAAAATCGTTCCACCTAAGTACACTGATAAGTTTTTCGAGGCCATTTTTATGATATATACGCCCATATCTTGCAGCCATGGGAGCAATAATTCTCCTCCCCTGCCGTTTTACTGGCACTTAAGTTGTCTAATCAGCATCAATGCTGGAGAGTGTTATCTACGGGGGAAAATTAAGAGCCAGCGGTAATGAAGTGGGATGCGCGCCAACCCCATTTATCAACTTACTAAGAATTTGATGGGGGGGTCCAAATGAATGCATTGTACATTACCGGTTAGGACGTTGTTGCAGTGATACCCCAAAGGAATCCTATCTGAGAAATACTCCCCTTTCTCCTTGGCATCCCTCCACCATTCCGTTCTGATATTCGGCAAATAATAATCTATTCGGAGACCATTCAATTACAACATTCCCATGATACATCGGGCCATCTTTGTTAAGTTTAACTTCGTTTTTATCCATTGTCCGTGGTCAAAAGAGTCCGATTTCATAGATGAATGCAACTATGGGAAGTGATCGGTTAAGCTGTTGATCATGACACTCTGAAGGGTTAAACTACCCCATAAATGTGACTGAACGTTCAACAAACAATTCTTTTTGACCGAGGAGTTTTGCCGATTAGTTTACTTTAAAGCTCATCAAAATGAGATGAGGATTTAAGGTCCCCAAAATAAAAGTACTTCACCGCTATTACTTGGAATAACTTGTTACCTTAATTCGCTATTTTAAAGGGACTAGAAGAAGACGTTACACTGCCAACAAGGTCTGATCTTTTTCGGTACGAGAGAAATCGGTATTTAGCTACGGCGGAAGTCCAAATAGCATTCATGGCTAAGCGAGTGGATGGGTAAATAAACGAACAAATGATTTTGTGGCCACAGCAACAAATCCATACCAAGGGTAGTCTAGACTCCTCAGACAAAAATGCAAGAATAATTGGCTCTGAAAAATTAGAATTCGAAACTTCATCTTATTGCGCTACGAAAATCTATTCTGGGCTCATTTCCTCTTCTCTTGTTTGAAAAGACACTGACACTCAAATTTCGCGCTATGTGCTTGTTCAAGTGAGTTGGCAGATGGTATGGATGCTTTTTCTCCACAATCTCATGTAAAGTTGAATTTCTCAAAAAAATTCGAGGGATTTAATTGTTCTTTTTTTAATTGAAAAGAAAAAGAGGCAGGAAAAGGTTGAATGGTGTTGCTTCATACCCGTACATTTTCCCCATCTGAAAGCAGACAATAAATATATGCGACAGAATTTTTAAAATAAGACCAACTACGTTTGTTTTACCATACTGCAAAAGTTTATGATTTAGAAGGCCAGTGTTTTTCCTTAGCCAGATGGCTATATGCTATTTGCACATATCTATCCCTTCAGTAGACACAACAGAGCTACCTGCTGCAGGCTCTCTTTATTGGTGTCTTGAAACGATGATTCACATCAAAGAGGAAGATAATTTTAGTCATTTTTTAAGCCCAAAATGTTACTTTATTGGATGAATAAATGTATTTGTTTTCCCGGGATTTCCTGTTCCTTCCTCTTCTGCTTTTTGATGAGAAGCTAAATGCATGCTCCTCGCACTACCTCGGATGCTGAATCATGCAATTCTCAATGCAATATCTTTTCTTTTTCAATGCAGAAAAACGAGGTGAGAACTAATCTATCTGGACGTAATTAGGGAAGATGCCACTTTTAAACTTTATCTAGCTGGTGCTACTCAGCTTGAAGGAGATTTGGAACAGAGCGGGAGTGGGCCTCCAAATGAGTTCATTATCTGTTACCAGCTAGGAGATTGTTTCAGTGATCCCCAATGAAACCCTGTTCGAAAACTCCAACCCCCCCTCACAACCATTCCTCTAGACACAACTTGGGTGAATAATCACCTTCTTCAAGATTCTTCAAATATAACACTCCCATGATGAATTCAGGAGAGTTTTTACTTTCATCGCTAGTCTGTATTCAAAAGGCCCTGGCTCCTTCTTATTTTTGATGAGAAGCTAACATAGGCTTCTTACTCGACCTCGTTCGTGCACAGTTTACCAAGAAGTCACTTTGGATCCTCACCCAAGGGGTATTACTCAGTAAGAAAAAGAAACCATTTCTTACAATACCTTTAAAATGGTTTTAGCATAAAACAGTGGCCATACCCCTAGGCGAAATCGAAATATGATATCTTTTGGCCCAAGTAACAAGGCTTACCCCTCATAATAGAGGTTGATTTAAACAGTCTAACGCAAATGGATGAGTTACTCGTGTTTAGGAGGAATTATGTGATGCCATTAGAGGCACTCAAGGTTAACGTGTCAGGAACATCTCATGCGCTGACATCTCAAATAAATGGGGAAAGATGTGATAAAGACTGCACAAAGGCGTCTCGCATGCCGCTTGCCATCCCCCATTGGATGACAGACAACAAGCGTTAGAGACTACCAATCTGTTCGTCGCTTATTTCACGTACATATTATATAAGTACCTCTTGTCAAAATTGCCTCCTGACTGACTTGTGGTGAGGGGAGGGCAATAAATTACATGCCATAGGTTGTCCGAAAATCATCCACTCCCAACTCATCGCAGATTTTTAAAGGCATATACTAGGCTTTTTTGCCTCTATGTAAGAGTTGCCTTTCAGTAGGACTTTTTAAAAAGCATATCAAATTATGTCTCTTGGAATTCGTCTTTAGCGGGGACTTGTAATGTGGGAAATGGATAAGGTATTATTCAAGACACCTGTCTTCCAGTGAATGAGGTTACTTATGAACTGAGCTGAAGTTGGATGAAACTGCAAAGAAGTACATTATATGGGAAAAAGGAAAATATGTACTATTTTGATAGGGGAAACGTCTTTAATTTTGGTCTTGTGCCAAGGTGTATCATCGATCAATTTCGATTGACACTTTTGTCAACCTGTCATTGATCAACCAGTTGAATTTCTCTCCTTTGAAAAGGGTGGTAAAGTGATATTTGCGAACTTGAACAGGAAAAAATTAAATCTAATAGCACATTTTAGGTTAAAAAATAAATATTATGAGAGAAATTAAGCACAGTAGACATCTTCTCGAAGTAATATTTTTTCAAGCAATAAATATATATTCTTATGAATGGGTATGGATACAGTCACCACCATCACCGTAGGTCCCAAAAAAGCGGGACCTATGAGTAAATGTTGGTCTGTAGGTACAGAAATGGGTACAGGGTTGTACTCATGAGGTCCTTTCCTACAGAATCCACCTCGCGTTTGCATTGATGCGAGGCCGAAAGACCACGGCCGTTGGTAAAGCCCTCGCCTTAATCTACCCCGACAGCACCGTCACTACCCTTCTTTAGTTTTGTTGGTTCAGTTTTGTTTTTATTTTTGGATACGATTTGTCCAATAAGTGGTAATAAAGCTGAGGGTAGCCCCTGCTTGTCCCGATTCCCTCTGCTCCAAAATCGGTCTGTCTGCTTAGTTGTTACTTTGGTTCTTATTTCTCTATTTTGGAGGAGACGAAACATTCTCAACCAGAACATAGACAAAGCCGTACTGAAGGACTTTTCCTCAACAGTCTTTTCTTCGGATAAGATATCCTGTCAACTTACTGGACAGGTCAAAGCCAAGTACAAAATAGCTGGATTTGCGGTGAGGCAACATTACTAAAAAAGTGGGGTCTTGTCAACGACTTAAGACCTAAAATTATCATACCTGACAAAAACTTCGTAAGTGGTAAAACACCTTATGACATGTCATGCACGAAGCACATAAAATATGGCGTAGATGGTGATCCGTGAAGATGGCTGACGCAGTAACTTCGTGTGCAGGTGAGGTTTCACGAGGAAAATTGACGGTGCAAATGAACCGATCCACCCATTGACATTACAAAATGATTTATGCTGTTGCCTTCAGTGGGACTAGACCGGGCCAGATGACAGTGTGATTAACCTGTCCATCAAAGGTTTCATCAAAAGGCACTCATGCTGCCCTTGTCGAGCAAGACCACCAGTCAACTTTACTTCGTGTCTTGGCCATGAAAGAAAAAATTAGTCCCCATTATCCATTATTCAGAAAATCGCCAGAACTTGGCAGCTTCACTCTTTGATAATGGTGCCCTTAGTTCAAGCAAAAATTTATGGCGCTTAAACAACTAATAGTAATTTTCTGGTCTTCTGCGGACTTTTCGAACTTTCACTAGTAGGTTCCTGATCTCCTGCTATGACCTCAGGCTTCTAATAAGGCACCTCCAAGTTGGTCCACCCTTGCATGTCATTTGTAGCGACCAGGGATTACAGAGATAACAATGTGGTGAGAGATATCCGACTCCTTCTAGCTTTTCTTAAAAATAAACAATTTTTGTGTTAATCTCCCCAACCATTCACTTTCCTAAATGTATTAGCAAGAGTCGTGAAGACTCGTGGACGGCAAGCCGGGAGAAGCCACACCAGCTATGTGGCTGACGGGTCCACAACTCCAAATGCTGCACCAAAACAAGCAACAGAAAAAGATTTGACTCGACTGGGGAAGGAAACTGTTGCTTACGGTATTCCAACGGAAGAAGAAAAACAATAGATGCTGAACAAACTATGGAAATATGAAGGCTCTCCTCACCAACGGTTGTAACGAGAAGTCTGAATCTACAATAATGAAGGAGGAGGAGGAAGAGCACCAAGAAATGCAGATAGAATTCCTCTCTGTGGGTTGGGTAAATCATTTGGAGTCTTTTTTACCTTAAGGCAAATATTCCTACAAAAGCGGTTGCCCAGGTGAAATGCCCTTGGTGGGGAATAATGTCCAATTAGTGGATAAAACCCTGCTCCCACTTGATAAGGTTCGCCATTTAAATTGGGTAATAAAAATCACCTTTTCGCCCATATTCTTACCTCCTGGTGGAATTCACTCTACTCATTTACTTTTGAGTGACGGATCAAGTAGAAGAATTTGCGTAGGTCTTCCCAACCTTCTAACAGTATTCTCCATCCTGATAGCAGACCCTTCTACCCTTCTGTGCCTGTCAGAGAGCTAATTCCACGCTTCTGTGGTTAGTGACTGTATGATAGTGTCTTCAGTTCCTTACAAAGAAGATAGCAAGACTCACTCACTCTTCTTCCTAAGTGGTCAGATGAGGTGCTACCCAGGAAGAGCTACAACAATCAGATACTTCATGTTCTCTCACTAAGTATCGTATTACACAGACTCCGGCTGCTGCTGCTGCTGCTGCTATAGCCGCTGTACATTCTCCATTGTGCTAAATAACGTCCCTACACACATCTAAAGTGACAAGTTGTCGCTCTGCAATGCAGTCTATTCACTGCACACAATAACACGCAAAAAACCACCTAAAACGCTCCATTTTTTATCACGGAGTAATTGAACAATTAACGCAGACATGACGGCACATGACTGACGTTTCGTGTTTATTTCGGGTATGAAAAAACTGAAGGACTGCACTGGTTAAACACTCTCCATGAAGTGTCACACACTTTGAAGGCGTTAAAGGTGTCAGATTTATCAACAGTAGAGTGAAATATCCTCGGAACAGTAAGGATCAAGTACCAGACTTTCACTAACTAATACTGTCACTCTTCAGACTTTTCCTTCAGGCGATCTCCTCGTGGCGGTAGGACTGAACTGGCGGTTTTTATGTATGGGATCTCTGCCTGGGCAAGTTGGCTAGTCGCTACCCTAAGTAAAAGACACAAAAGGCCTCAATGGTGGACCTACGAGGCTGCAGGTATTCAAAACTAGAGAGTAAAGATTACCACACCACAAGACGCTGATTGAAATAACCAGAGTAGTTCGTAGAAATGGCTGAAAAAGACTAGTGGAATCAAAAGACTTGAAAGCAGCTTAGCCATACGGTCGAGAGGCAATAAAAATACAGTGAAGTTTGCAAACTAAGAGAAGTCTTGAGAAGTCTCTTTAGGAAGATTTGCCTTCTTCGGAAATTTTTTCTTATTCCTTGCAAATCATATGGATTCTAGTATGCCAAAAAAGATAGTCTAAACGCTGTTTACCAGATGAGGAGCAGCCTAAGACGAGATGGGGCAGTGGAGATAGCAAGTGTCCTCAAAAGGTCATGCGGTTTAAGGCACAGATCGTAGTGATGGCTTGTTCCAACCAGTGAGGACTTGCATAAATCACGACGATTGTTTACCTGAATGTATTGTAAGCCATAGGTAGGTGCGTTTCAACCTGCCAGTGCTACTTACTGTGGTCAGTACTATTTGCCTTCCTCTCTATTCGAATTTCAATATGAGAAAATGTAGGGAAAACGAAGCCAGTATGACTGGGATTAGTCTTCTTTCCCTATTTAAACCCGGTATCAGGTAAAATTTGGAGCGGATGAGTTATACAGAAGTAGAATGTGGGGCTGAAACAGCTTGATTTTGGCGATGAAAGATGTGCCCTCTATCACTGATAACAACAGAGAAATACGCGCCGCTACTGACGAGATAAATAAATAAAAATTCTCCCGTCAATAACTTAGAACTTCTGGGTCCTCATGACATTAAATTTGCGTTAAACGTGGAGGATACAAATCAGGCTGGCCTACTTTGAGTGTCCAAGTCAACTCAAAGTTGGGCGCATCACGATCAGGAAAGAGCCTCCCTACTCTTTGTAATGTAGAAATTATGAGATTAAGATGTCAAGATAAACTTTTTCATCACAAAATTTGTTAAACGAACGGAAACATCGTCAGCTATCAACCGGCAGATCTCTAACCTAGATGACTATATTTTCTCTGTGCATAATGAACTGCTTACACAAATGTTCATTATAAATTTTCGCTTGCTAAAGGCGCACTAATGCCTTCCTCTTGTGGCGGATCCGCCTATCATCCACTGACGGTTGAATGAACCTGATGAACGCAATTCAAAACTGTCTACTTTGCCAATGACAATTGGATTTCAAAACTTTAAAAGCCTCCCGTAAAATTTACGTAGCATTTACATAGGTCGCAGTATGGGGTGAGAGGATGTTCCGCCTGCAAATTATTTGGCGTAAACTCTTCGATTCTGGTGAGGAAGCAGTCAAGGCCAAAGCCACCAACATGAAAAGCACCGCTAACTAGCATTCCAATTAATGAAGAATCGCATTATCATACCGGAGAAAGCATTCCGTAGCTAATTCATTACAAAATAAACTGCATGACCATGTTTGATTATTTTCTGCCTTCTCTCCGATAATTATCATAAAAAAGGAAAATTAGATGTCACTTTTGACACGTGCATGGCGAAGAGAACCTTTAGAGAGCTTTAAGATCATTGCGAGAAGAAGAACCTTCTTAGGCAACCAGAAGGCTGCAAATTTATAGACTGATGCATGATTAGATTAACATTGACTTGAGGATGATCTTTCTCGTAGATAAATGCTACATCCTGTAAAAAGTTTTCTCGAACTCTCTAATGCAGTAGCTGACAGCTCTACGAAGAAGTTGTCATTCCTAAAAATCATAAAAGATTTGGAACCCCTATTATTGATAAAGCTCGCTCTTGGGCTACTTTCATTCGAATGATATGACACATCAGAAAGGTGACATTCATCATGCCAGTAAAACCCCATTTTGACGGCCATTGGTAAGGGCCTTAGGCGTAGTCGGACCTAATGGGTTAATTGAAAATGTAGATAGACAATGACACTCTTAAGATGATGGACTGGTACAGTTTTTTTTGACGTCACGACCACACACACACACAAATAAAAAGCCTATATTCTCATAAAAATTTATTTCCGGAGCCTCCTCTCGTCTCTGAGCTTAATGTATGCTACGTCGCCCCATTTCACTCCTCCTCATTACCAGACCGCCGTCGTACGCAATAAACAAGGACCAGAGGCGGAAAGTTCCACCTACATTTTCGATTAAAAGACTATACAATATGACCAAATGAGTAAAAACTGCGTGTTTTTAAGATGTTTTTGTTGAACAGAGAGATCTGAAGCGTGCGTAAATCATCCCTGGCATGATTACACAATGACATTACGCTTATCATAGACCTACCGCAAACAATTCAGACAGATTTCTTTACGCAGATATAAATTTAAGAAAAATAATAATACCCTCTGGGTTATTTAACTTCTAATGTTTGCATGACCATTAAAATCCTGAAAAAAAAAATTTACGAAAATCGCATCCAAATATCCGAATTTGACCATTATATCATTACCACCACCTGACAGAATAAGCTTCATACTGCAGAAAAGAAAAATAAGAAAACATTTTCCTAAGTGGAAGAAAAACAAAACACTCTTCATTATGTCATATACTTTGGTAAGTTTTTTGCTTGAAACGAATTTTGGTGGGCCTCCCTTTCCTTCCCATCCCCTGCCCTTCTCTCGCCTAGCCTACCCCTCCCCCCGCCTACTAGACCAATTGAACTCAAAGAAAAATCGTAGACAATTTTAAAGTTGGCACAGAAATGTCTGTACCATGAAGGATAGGGTAAGGCTCCATAGTTTATCCCAAATTAATACTTTCCCTTTTCGTGGTACGACCAATTCGGAAAAAAGGGAAAAACGATGCAACCCCGGCGGAGTTCAACTAAAGAAATGCAAGGAGAAAATCCGCTCATAAAAAATGCGACATTTATTATTTTCTTTACTTTCAACAAGTTTTATTTACGAAAAATAGAAGTGCACAAAAAGAAAAGAGAAATACCCCCTTTGGAAGAATTGCTTACTGTTCCAAACGCTAAGCACAGAAGAGGACATCTGGATTGCCCAAAAGCCTCATCCATTTACCCTTCTGATTAATTTAATGGACTTCCTGACAATGACAAAAGCACTGTAATGACATATAATGAAAACAAGACAAAGTATTCCCTTCCTCTACACTCTTTTTGATCGAGACATCATGAGATTAACTTGTCAGTGGAAAACGCGCGGGTAAACACTCTGCCTTCTCCAACAGACATCCAGCCAGTTTGTGTCTAGTAGTTAGAATCCACCTCTTTTTTTCCGCAAAATAAAGCCTTGTATTTCTCGTGAAAAAAAAGGGAAACGCCTTTAATAGATGCCTGCTTCTCGAGGAAACATACTTGGTAGAGACAGATTTTTTTGCTCCCATTCTACAGAAAATCACTCAAAAAACCAATTAAGTGTATTTAAATGTGTGCTAAGAGGTAGATCATAATACCTCAGGAGAAAAATTGGGACCCCGAATGTGAAAAGACACAGAATGTACTTAAGCCCCTTTTCTACAGGAGTAAAAGTCGAGATTTATCCTGCTTCTTCGTCTTGGCCATAAACTGGCCGACTTGGGATGCCCAATGCTGGGCGGCTTTAAAGCTTTTCACGTCGGAGTAGACATGAATGTGTTAAGAAG